GCCGAGCCCATTATGTTTTATCATTTGGGTCTTAAAGCCGTGGCATAAGGCAGGTAGGGTGGATGTTATCCACATTGTGCAGATAAAAAGGCAGAAACGCCAAGAGGTAAGGGACTTGTTCTTTCGGTTTGGTATGACCGTATTTAAGCTTTCGTATTACAGAGTATTTGAAAGTTCTAGAATGTATTTTCAGGAAGAGATAGAATTTGATAAAAATGTCAGATGTTTTCCCCTCAGTTATATTTTATATTTTTTAATACTTGTTATAAATTTCATGGGCTATGAATCATGCAAGTGTATATTGAGGTATAAGTGCTATATTTATAGCAAAAAAAAAAATGTGTCTAATGTTGTGAAGAGGAGATGTGTTCCACATTAACTTTTCTTCTCCATCCCCATCATTTATGGCTGGGATTCTTCTAAAATATGTCACTTCCTTATTCAAAAAGCAGCACATGAAACATAATTTAACATTTTTTGATGAATCAGAGTTATAGTAATAATGATAATAGCTAGCATTTATTGAGCAGTTACCACATGCCAGCTACGTTGTAAGCATATAACTTGTCCAAACTTATTTTCACTATATTTCTATGAAAAAATACTATCCTTATTTTACAAGGACAAATCAGGGCACAGAGAGGCTAAGTAACTTGTCTGAGGTCACACAGGAATAGGTGACAGAGCCAGGATTCAAACCTAGCCTGACACTTGTGCCTGAGTTTTTAACTGTTATGCTGTCCTGTATTTTATACTTTACATTGTTACTATCTTGATTTTTTCAGAGCCTTTTCAGATGAAAAATATTCTGTTCCAAAAGGCCACGTTTTGCCGTTCTTTTCAGGTGCTTACATTTGCTTGGTTTTATTTTTTCCTTTTAACAAATAACTCCTTTAATTCTTACTGTGTGCTTAGTCCCCTAATTTTTCGTTCACTACATTTGATCTCTGCGTACTTAAAAATTTTAGATGACAGAGGTCATCAGGATCATGTATAAAGTAAGATGTGCAAAATATCCTTCTGGATTTTCATCTAGATGTATTTTATCAGCTTTTGTGCATATAAGATGTGACAGTTGGCTCGGCGCCTATAGCTCAACCGGCTAAGGCGCCAGCCACATACACCTAAGGTGGTGGGGTCGAATCCCCAGCCCGGACCCGCCAAACAACAATGACGGCTGCAACCAAAAAAATAGCCAGGCGTTGTGGCGGGCGCCTGTGGTCCCAGCTACTTGGGAGGCAGAGGCAGGAGACTCACTTGAGCCCAGGAGTTGGAGGTTGCTGTGAGCTGTAATGCCACGGCACTCTACCCAGGGGGACAGCTTGAGGCTCTGTCTCAAAAAAAAAAAAGATGTGACAGTTAAGTTCGTGAACTCATCCTAGAAAAAGTGCTGCATAGCTCATTGCTGAATATCACCAGGGTCACCTTTGAAGTACTCCCTCTGGGAAGCTATGCACTGACGCCAGTGCCTCGACCATCCTTCAAAGCAATTTTGGAACTCTTTATCCGGAATGAAAAAGAGCTGTTGTTGTATAGCACACAAAAACACACGAGAACAATAGCGAATGCTACTCAGCAAGACACTGCCACATGTTGACATGAACACAGCTGTGAGACACTGATATACCAAAGTTATGAAACCACACTAAGTTGTTTGTATAGTGCTGCCAACATAAGCACACACTGGCAGGTTCACAAGCTTAATTGTCAGACGATAGCTCTGATGATAATTCCAGAAAAAGAGTTCTAAAATTGCTTTGAAGGGTGGACTAGGGCACTGGCATCAGCGCATAGCTTCCCTCAGGAAATACTTGAAGGTGACCCTACTGATATGAGGGTAATGAGATCTGTAGCACTTTTTCTAGGATGAGTTTGTGAATTTAATTGCCAGACCTTGTAGACCGTAGACCTTGGGACAGTTATTTTGGATACTAACATATTTTTTGTATATTTGATTAGTATCATTATTTTTCCAAAAGGCCCTTATTTGACTGTGTTTTACATAACTGAGTTTGTTAACTGAAGAGCATCTTCACAAATAAGATATTAGAGAATTGCAGCTTTTTAAAAAACATTACCATGGACGATGCCTGTGGCTCAAAGGAGTAGGGCGTCAGCCCCATATGCTGGAGGTCGCAGCTTCAAACCCAGCCCTGGCCCAAAACTGCAAAAAACCCCAAAAACCTTACCTAAAATTGTTCTGGTTTACAGGTTCACTTATGTAGTTCCCATCTGTTACTCCGACGAGCAGCCGTGGCATGTCTTCGGCAGCTTGCGCAGAGAGAGGCCGCTGAAGTTTGTGAATACGCCATGAGCCTGGCCAAAAACGCAGGGGACAAAGAGAGCAGTGGTGCCAGTAAGTTGTTGGTCATTGTTCTTTTTTGTTTAAATACCTTTGTATTTCAAATGAGTATTATTTATTAAATAACAGTTTTGTGTTGAAATGTGGCCAAATTTTTGTTCCTTTTTTTTTTTTTTTTTTGAGACGGAATCTCATGCACAATTTCTGGAACATTTTTTTGGCAGTGTCCCTAACTTTTTCAAACTATGTTTACCCTTTAACCTAGCAGTTCCCCTTTTAGGAATTCGTCTTCAATGGTTAACCGGTTAATATTCTTTTAATTCATTTGCTTGCTATGTGGCCATTAAAATTCATACTGTAGAAGTAAAATTACTGATATGGGAAAATCATCACTGTCTACTGCTAAGTGAATGAGATAAATGATCCTCCTAATGTTCTCTTTGCTTGGAACATTTTCTTCTGCCTTTTTCTACTGTCTTGGAATTTCACTCACTATGGCTATTTTTTCAAGCCACCCTTTATTCTGTCTTTGGGGTGACACAACAAAAATAGCCACCTTTCAGCTGTATCCCTCTAATTCCCTTCAGGGTTCAGAGGACTCTAGACTTCAGAGAGCCGTACTCATTCTTAAGGCTGCCACTTATGCTGTTGATTAGAAGAAAATGATTTTCAGATAGAGCTAGAAATTGAACCACTGATTCATAACAGTATTACTTTTTTATTGTATCTTACTTAGAAAGGATTATTCCAATTTTTAAATGAACGTATAGAATACACTTCATTTAGAGTTTGTGTTCTATATTTATAGATTTTTAAAAATCTAAACTATAAGGCTGAACAAGTCTTAATTTGTTCTTAACAATTAGAGCTATTTATTTTCAGTTTGTTAAATATATTTAGAAGTATAGCTCTTCCTCACACTTCTTCCCTTTCTCACACCTTTTCTCATTAGAATGAAATATTTATTGAGCATTCCCTAGAGATTTGTTTACAATATCTCAGAATAATAATGACTATCAAAGACCAGAGTTTTGCCCATATTGTCAGAGTAAATTCTAGTCCTAAAGATAAGTGAACTAGAGATGGTAAATTGTATATATGGCCAATTGGTTTTGTTGCTGTTGTGAATTTATTTGTAAGACTTGGTCCTTAACATAATTGTTATCTATAGCATACAACAAAATCCCATAAAAGTTCATTTATATAAATTATTTTTAGATGTGAATCCCTTTGCACCAGGAGTTTGTTCACGGAGTGATATCCATTGCCGGCACCAAGGTGTTAATATAACAGAAACTGGTCTTGAGGGACTTCTTTTTGGAATGCTAGACCGGGAGACAGATCGAAAATTATGTTCTGATATTCATGACACTTTGGGGCACATGCTTTCATCACTAGCAGTAGAGAAACTTTCCCATTGGCTAATGCTTTGCAAAGATGTCCTGGCGGCTTCTAGTGGTACGTATTAATATGTGTTCATAGAATAATGGCAATTGTTTTACTTCTGATACATAATATATAATATACATATATAAATTTGAGCTTACATTTAAAAGTACTAATAACTTGTCATCTACAAATCCTTGTAAAAATATTAAATTATGTTATAAAATAATGAATTTTTTTTTTTTGCAGTTTTTGGCTGGGGCTGGGTTTGAACCCACCACCTCTGGTATATGGAGCCGGCGCTCTACTCCTTTGAGCCACAGTTGCCACCCATAAAATAATGAACTTTTTATATTTGGGGGAAAATATATTTCAAAAATTTTTGAAAGTTCAAACTAAATTTTCATGAATAAAAATCTCAAACTATTCTCTAGTACAACATAGTATGTAAAACTACTGAAATATAAACTGTAATTTACATAAGAGCCTTTTATGTTATCTTTTCCTTAGTTTCTAATTGTTTTTTTTTT